AAACCAAACTGATTTTTATTAAAAATACCATTAATTTCAAAATATCGAACTAATTGTTTAGCTATACATTTTTCTAAAATATTTTAAACAATTGGAAGTGGAGATATAGGTCGATAATTTTCAACAGCATCAGGGTTCCCATTTTTAAATACTGGTATTACTAGAGCTTTTTTAAAATCTCTGCAAAAGTGTTGACTTGAATTCTTAAATTTACAATATCTGGGGAGGGGGGGATTATTTTGAAAGGGACAACATTAATTTAAATAAGTCACCTTACTTCACCTAGTTCAGAATCAATATCAGGGATTAACTGATTCGATATAAAAAAACACTATTTCTAGTCACAAAAGTTTAATGTTCAAAGTTCTAAACCACTTTCTAGAAACTTTAAAAACCCTAAATACATAAAACACCCTGAAATTAACAAGTGCAAAAGACAACTGGATATTATTTGCTTGAAGCAAAATATAAATACTAGATATTAGGTGCTCTGCAGAACAAAAAACCTTCTGATAAAATATAAAAAACAAAATTATGCGAATAGACTTAAAAACTCCTAGAAATTGAAGGTAACAAATAGATTTTATTAATTAATTTTATTACACATATCCCAGTCACAGACTGACTATGAGTGAGAAAGGTGGGTACTATTGTATTAGGTCTTATAATAGTTTGCCGAACAACGCATTATTATTATTATTTATTTTATTAGTAATAAATTGAGAAAAAATGTGAAAACGAATGAAGTTTATATCAAACATTACGAAATAGCCTTCAAAAGACATAAATGACAACGCGCAAATCTAAATACTTATTTAATAAACGACGTCTCTACGGTTGAAACACACGCCGCGGAAGAAAACATTGTTGGGGAAAAACAAAGGCCCGTCGAGAGAGTGCGGAGCTCATTTTGATCCATTACGGACGGGGTTTACGGATTTCATGCCGGGCGTGAGAACGACTGGTTTCTTCTCGAGAGGCGACTAGATGTACAGTTAGATGAGAAGCTGCATTAATTTCATTGGCGGCGCCATCATTGAAGTGTACCTAGCAAATTCGGCAGTGAACAAATGTGAATTGATTATTGCGAAAACGTTTATGACATGCGTATCATTTATTTAATAAAATTATAAACACTCTTAACTGGGTAAGTTATGAATAATTTAAAGCTGTCTCGGGAAAACAAACAAAAATTTCTCGGTGTTCAACGACAGGTGGGCACTAAAACCGACTCGATATGACGTTACAACCACCTGCTCGTCGCAGCTAACCCCTCTAACCCGTTTATGCGAACGGATGCGTCAGCTATTCCGATGCCTAGACCGCAGACGTTTTCAAAATTCTATGAATTTAACTATGATTTTTATGCTTTCGTCAAAATTTTTGTTTTAAGCAGTCTTCAAAGAACTTTTTTTTTATGTGTGTTCCAGGTGATTAAAGTGATTTTTCCGTTGTTATTGCTGCTTGAGGTTTCTCGTCAGTTCCTTTTTTGCCTCCCATATAGAACGTGTTCCGTATTTAATGTAGTGCGTGACTTGTAAATCAAAGATATGATTTTCTTTTCTCTTCTGCAATTGTCATATAACAGAATACTTTGTATTGACTTTTGTTCCCAGGACACCAAGTAGAGCAATTGACAGAAACTCAATTTTGTCTTGGTCTACTTTTCTTCCCGTCTTCTGCTGGGACTCCAGTCATTGCCCTTGAGCATCCGCCTGTTTTCACTTGCTCTTCCATCATTATGCTTGTTACCATGATGTTATACATTTGGTGTTTCTGGTGATAGTTCTGTAACACAAAACTGGGTTTAGTTGATTGATGCAGTTGCTTGTTTGATTAAACCCGCTATTTATTTCTTCCTCTGTTGTTCCTTCATCAGTAATCGTAAACGCCTAGTACTTAAATTTCTTCGTTCTGACTATGCTGATATTATCGTCAATTTGCAACTGTTTTTCCTCATTCCTCTTTCGTTACGAAGTACTCAGTCTTCATGTGTGGAACACTAAAGCCACAGACCAGATATAAAATTATTTGAGTTATTATGATATTTATAACTTGATATTCAATTGCACATGGCGTTCCGTAAAGTCTAATTGTACGGTAAACAAATACCATTATTACAAAGCTCTGTCCAAATGGGATTATTTTTGGAGTTGGTCTAGGTTGACTTCCTGTCTTTGTTTTTCTCATATTTCGTTGGAGGAACGTTGGGAAAGTACGATGGGAGTGATTTCAGCAAAAACGGATATGGGCGGGCCTGCTCATTGAAGAACACGCGATAGTACTTGTACCCGTACACCAAATATTTACATAACTATTCCGCGTATAATCTTATGGGAATATTTCGGAACTGTGACCTCTCGTAAACAATGGCCGCTATCTCCGAACGTCATCGTTGCTTTTAAATAACGTTCAACTGAAACCCGACATTGTTTATTTTCACCGTTTGATTCGCCGCTATTAACGGACCAACGGGAAAACTAATAAACAACAAAGAAATTAACGAACGAATAAATGAAAAAATGGAAAATTCCTTACGAAATATCTTAAACAATTTTAGAAATAAAATTACGTTATATCCTAAAAATATCCAGCTGATAACAGTACAACCTCAAATTTTTTATTAATTTATTTTTTAAAGTAAAGTAAATACTCCAATCGCTATTAAATTACCTCAAAAGCATTTTTTTATTTCATAAATATTTTTTTGCAACAATTACAATAGTATATTATGCAACAAGTGCGGTAAACGGCATTCGACTCACGAATTTTTAATAAACGAGTGAGTTAAAAAGCTCACCGAACGTGTTGCATACTATACTTTTTCTACGACCGTTAGTTTTTGGGCACATTCTTCCAAAACAACACCAATACATTCACTGACATGATTGTCAGAATTGACAAACGTCAAAATTCAAAGCGTGGGAAATATATCCGAAAACATCCGATTGCTCCAAAGTGGATGTTTTCGGATGAAATAATAAAAAAGCTAAATTGAATACAGTGACGGGCATCACAAAAAGATGAGCCATAAATTGCGAAACAGCTAACAATAGCAGTACAACAATAGTGTACAACTGATTCCTCGACATCAGTTGTACATATAAGAAACAGGATCGGGATAGAACAAGCGGAAAGAAAAAGTCACAATTTAATATTTTGCATATTAATAATACTATGTAGAAATGAAATGAAATAGAAAGCAACAAATTGTTACTTTGTACTAATTTTTTGTATGTACATTGCTGGGCGAAAAATATTGAAAACATACGTATAACCCGCTTATTAGTGTAGGTAGATAAATTCCCAGCACTGTCCTGGAATAGTTACGGATAAGGGTCTGTTCGGCAGGGTGTTCCATAAGGGCCTGCGGTTTTAGAGTAATAAGCAGTAGGCAAAGTTAAACACAGGGTCGTTTGTGAAAGCACTATATTTCTGGTCAAAGTATACACTTATTATTTTTTTGTCTTTTTTTTAGAGAGTTGTGTTTTACTTTTTATTTGTGATAATATGTTTAAGTTGTGCTTTTTGGGCTGGTCTCGATAAAAAACGATTTAAAAAAATAGAAGTCTCATTTAAATCATGATCACGACTAGTAGGCCAGGGAAACCCCAGGTGTTTGACTAATACGATTGCGATTTTTTTCATAATGCCAATAAATTTTACTTAATATTAATTAAAACACATCAATAAAAAGAAAAAAAATATTACGAACGTCAAACTTTAATACAATATAATTATTATACAATGTGTTCACCAAAAAATTAAATACTTACAAACAGTTTTTAATTAAATCATAAAAACGGTTTAACAACACAACATAAAATGTAGAAGCATTTTGAAGTAAGTATATTTAAGTAAATAAAAAATAATAATACAGGGTGACCCAAAAGTAACAATTTAACAAAAAAAACTTATTTATTTAATATAAATTAAAACAAAATATTATCAGATTTTTTAAAATATTTAAATTTGTTTGCTTGAAAGAAAAGAAATAAAAAAATAACAGGGTTTTTATACCTCTAAACTACCATTCAGTTAATAACGTCGCTCTGTTTTTGTTACAATTTTTGCATTGACCATGGCTCTAAAAAAATTAAACCATTGCTTTGCAATACGAGCGTTCATTCAAGGTTTTGATTTATAGTTAATCTTAGCGTTAAAAGAGCATGACATCGCACAACAAACAAAAGTTATCACAATACCTTTCAACAATGTCTTACATGAATCAAACTTAAGTTACACTATCGCTCCATAAAAAAAAGAAAACAAATTTATATATTAATAGGTCAAAGTTTATAACGAAAAACATTTTTCTCCGTTTTTTTTTTGCCCACCCGGCAAGTTCTTTAAAAATTATTTTCAGAAAATGGAGCAGGTGGGAGCAAGATTGTGTCTTACACCTAACACCACAACATGTTCCTTTAATAAATAGTATCAACAGCATCCCTAAATTATGCTAAAATTGTAACATATTGCTTAATAAATTGCAAACATATTTTTTTGGCTATTTTTTAATATGACTCAAAACAATGTAGAATTTTTTAAGCATATTTGCATTTTAGAGTAATTACTAATTTACTAAAATTTGTCTCAAAACTTACCTTTACTGGCTTCCTGCATTTTGAATTTTGTCAAAAGCTAATTTCTTTTAAAAAATCCCTTCCACTTTTCACACGGAAAATTGTATAAATAAAACATTCTCAAACTGACACTGACAACAAACGTTACAATATTATTTTTTACGTTTCCATGGTAACAAGGCGACTTAAATCGCTTGTTTTGTGGAGGGTCACGGCCTACTTAATTAGTCCGTGATAAGGAAAACGTTCATTGTGCGAAATGTATTAAGGGCTCATATATGGCCCACCGTGCAGCCGCCTTGCATTGATCAAATAGACATTTAGGGCGGAACAACATGTGTCGAAGTATAAGCGGAAGTAAGACGAACGATATAATTTATTCTGTATATCGTTTAACTTTCCGAAATGGCTACTTACCCTGTGTGGCGCCCTCAGCAGTCGGTGTACGGCGACCAGTTGATTGATCAGCGGTAAAGTGACGCTGAACGTGTAAAGGGGCGGCCTCGGGGGATCGGGAAAATTCGTCGAATATGAAAACGGATCGATGTCGTTCAGGTACTGCACCCGGCACGTAAGTGACATGACGACGGTACCGCGAGCACGACAAGGAAGGGCATATAAACCCCGCACCGAAAGTCACCTTTTATCGCGAGACGTTTGACTACGCGACGACATATTGGACCAACGGATGAACCTGCACGATGGACAAATTGAAAAATTCCCGATTCGTAACGATCGCTCCATTGACACATAGATAAATGAAATCGTTGACGTTATCGCTACCGATTTTGATCGTAGTCACCATTCGGTTTATCGAATTTTCGATATAACTTCCGTTGAAACTAAAAAAAATCTAGTGGATTGAGGGAAATTTATTGTTAATACGTCAAATCCGCTAAAAGTAATCGAAAGTGGCGGCGAAAACTATGTATCGAGTGACTAATTAAACACACGGATAAAGACTTTGCATCGAACATTACAGATATTTCAGACACACTGAGAAAAATAATGCATCTTAAAATGGCCCTTGTAATAAATCAACTCTTATCTAGAACTTAACATAACATTTTACGTAAGTTTAAAAAGATGTCGTTATTGATTTGTTTATAAATTCCGAGTCCAAAATGTAAAACGCTATAATAGAAAAGAACGGAAAGATGTAAATATACCCCAACCTTATGTAATTGCCCAATACAATAGATATATGGGTGGGCTAGATTTACATAACAACGGAATTGCTAATTACAGGTGCCATGGTGGTAGCCTTTATTTTTATTTATTTTTGAACAAAAGATTTCCCAGGTAAACTGATAAAAACTGATAAAACAATTACTTAAAGAAATCTTGCACCTGCCATAGATGAAGTGTGTTGTCGAAACAATTGTCCTGTAAAAATATATAATTTCGTGAAAAATCTCAACTTTCAGTTTTTATTTGTTTTGATAAATGGATTTTCAACAAGTAAAAGCCAGCTCAGTTCAGTTTACGTTTGTAATAAGTGTAATGTGCATTTATATACTTCATGCTTTGTAAAATATCACCAAAAATGAAATCGGGTTTTACCAGTGGTGCGCTCACGCATCATAAAATATTATGCGTTTTTTTTTTGTATCAAATCGGGTTTTATTTGGAAAACAATCTACTTTTAGTTGTTTTCTGTCGAATTTGAACTTTCTTTTGTATATTGATGTATAAATTACATCTTATGAGCCCCCAAACATTATTTAATGTTTTTTCCCAGTGGTTCGTTTACGCACCAGTATTTTTTTGTATGTTTCGTTTTTTTTTTTGACACATGTAATGTATTCTTAAGTGCAACACAATAAATAATTTCAGAGCAAAAATGTATTTTTTTATTCTTAGGATAATATGGTTTAATGTAGGCTCAGAAAGCAGCCAATACCGAGATTGTATCTTGACAAAATGAACTACGACCAGCTGCTGAATTGCAAGAAAGATGGGACAGCGTCACACCTGAACTCTGTGAAACAGTAAAATTTCTAAAAAATGTTGTCAAATTCAAATTTTGTCTTTTGCTCACATCTGAGTGCTGTTTTAATAAATTAATTACTAAACGAAAGTCGTCCCGTACACGAATCGCGTATGGCTGACCCCAATCGAGAAGCTGCCAAACTGCACGGCGCTTGGCGTGCATTTGAAACGTATTTTTAATTTGGCACCGTCACTTCCCAGAAGTCTGAAATGTCCGAGCATCTGGCATCACACTACGCATTCTAAATTTAGTGTAACTAGTCTCATTTAATGTTAAATTTTATTCGATTTGAGTGCGATAATGGCTTACACTTAAAATTACCCATTTAACGAAGTAAGAATTAAGAAGGTAAAATAACCAAGGCTACGTGAAAAGTGATAATTTCAACTTCAAAATAATTACAAGTTTTATTCAAGAAAATATTCTAAAAAGTCGATCAAACTTGGTCGGTTCTGGAAATGATAGTGAAAACTACACAGAAAATTTTCTCTAGTTTTCCAGATGCAGCAGCTTTTCCAAGGGGAATGTTAGCGTTGCACTTTATCTACAGTAATAATGTAAGTGATACGTTGAACTTTAATAAACACAATATTATGAAACCAAATTCTTTCAAGAAAAGCCGTCAAGCTTGCTCTGTCAAGCCTGGTGGTGTCAACCTATTAACTCTACCTTCTTTGCAAAGAAAAGCGAAAGATTACGAGTACGAAATAAAGGAAAATCTCTTTCTACATTTGTCACAGCTTTACCTAATTTATTTCTATGATTCAGCGTTTTTTATTTTTGAACTGAGGAGGCTTTTACTTGATGAAAATCCATTTATTAAAATAAATAAGAACTAAAAGTTCATATTTTCACGAAATTATATATTTTGACATGGCAATTGTTTCGACGACACCGTGTCTTTAACAAATGTAATATTTACAAACTGCCTGCTACTATATTCATTTGTCTGCTTTGTCCGTCTTTTATTTGTCGACGTTTTTTCTTTCATTTTTTACATATTACGTTCTTTCTCATTTCGTACTCGTCTTTCACAAGGATTTATTTTTCAACAGTAAATTATTGTATATTATAAAAAAAATTATATATTATCAAATGAGATTTATTTTTTGTTTATATTTTAAATATTTAAATTAATAAAAATGTTGTTTAATATTTAATATAAAATGCGAAATTCTTTTTTTTTGTTACTTAATCTAACAGTCACGGTAAGTGATTTATTTTTATTCAAGTTTAACTCAACACAATTGTGTATATGTTTATTTGAGTATTCAATTAAGATGTTATCAGTTGACCGGTCAAATGACTAGCCCCAACACTAAAGAATGTTTTTTTTATATATTACGTCCCTTTTCATTTCATAGTCGCCTTACATAATGATTTATTTTTCATTTTATTTTTCAATTGTAAGTTGTTTTTAAGTTACTTTATTAATATATTTTAAATATTCAACTTAATAAAAATGTTCTTTATTATTTAAGATAAAATCCGAATTTCTTTCCTTTTTTGTTTTTTTTATTTTGCTTAAGTTTAATTTTACACATTTTTTCCTTTTTTTTGCTTTGCTTAGTACTAGTCTAATTGTCAAGTTTAGGAATTTATTTTTATTTAAGTTTAACTTAAATGTATTTTTCGGTTTTCTCAGATTGTTAACATTTTTTTTGTTTTTTAAATGTTTCTTGCATAATATTGTTTGTTGTCCGAGAAAAGTCTCTGGATTGACTTTGATTTTAGAACATATTTTTCCGTTTATTCTTCTTTATTTAACGAGGAAATATCGCAAAATAACGGCCGCTGTAAAATTCGAATAATATACAACGTTATAATAACATCCATAATAGAATTATGTTGTATGTTTACGGTTCGACGCGCTTAATAATAAATAGCTTCGAAAAGTTAATTTACTGCTTCGTTAAGGATTTTATTTGCGGAAAATGTAGTTTCCCCGAAAGAAAAAAAAAACGTTTATTGCAGTAGATGAATCATCGGCCGACATGGAATCATATTAATGGCGCATGATTTATTTATATTTACGGCCGCTGCAAGTTTGCTCGCAAAGTGGGTAGGAATGTCCGGGATCTCTGGAACCTCTTAAAACCTTAATATATTAGCATTAAATAACGGTGCCATTAAAACGTATTATTATTTATATTCGCGAACCTACAGGATGGAGCATAATGTCTACGGCAGACGAACGACGCGAATGAAGGAAAAGCGATATATATACAGGGTGGAAATTATAAATGTATTTGGAATAACAAAAAACGCTGAAACGCGTTGATTTTGTATGCAGGTGGGACCCATTTTTTTAACATTACAATTTTAAATAGGCAAAGCGGATCAGGTGGCACCTCTTTCTAACGTCTTTGCTGCACCTTTACAAAATTTAAAAAATAGATTATATTTTTACATAACATTTAAATAGAAAATGTGGGTAAAGGCGATGCTGTGAGATGTTTGATTTAAATTATTAGAAGTTTTACTATTTTATTTCAATTAATTTTTATTATTAATAATTAATATTCAAGTTACTTTGAGCAGGTAGGTACTTTTTCTTACTGTTTTTATCTTTGGCGAGTTATCTTTTGCATTTTTAAAAACTGTTTTTTTTTTACATTTTCTATTTTTAAATTTGATTGGCGATTGTGTTTGAAATTTGAATTCAATTATTAGTTAGAAAAATATTTCTTTTGCTATTTTATTTCAATTATTTAATTATAATGTTATTTTGTGCATTTTGTACTTTAAAACTGTTTTTTCTTACCATTTTTTAATTTGAAGTAGTGAGCAGTAGATGTTTTGTCGATATTGCTTTTAGCAGTAGGTATCCAAAATGCATAATTTTTTAAGAATATTTTTTATTTATAATTTTTAAGCAATAAATTAAAAAATAATTGACACAATTGCATAGGGGAGCTTTTTATTATTTTTTGTGGGTTTTAACCATCAAGTCCATTTATTTTGGACAAACTTTAAATAAATTTACTCAAATTTTGGCGAAGCTTCTGGCCGACGGGCCCCAGTCTCCCCTATTTATAATGTTATATATAACAATTATAATTATTTATTAAAAAATATTTAATAAAAAAAACGTTACTGATTAGTAAATATGGTCGAAACGTATTTTCAACAGGGAATTTGAAAATGTAGAAATTCAATATGGCGCCCAAAAGAGAAACAGAAGTGGACTTCGATAGTGGGCCTAAAGTTTTTTGACGCCATTTTTTGCGTCGCCGTATCCTATTATTATTAAATTTTTAGATTTTGATAAATTATTTTTCCGTTGGATAGATCTCTGAAAAAAGCACTAAAATCTTATGTTTCTTTTTACATCATGGCCAACTGGGATTGACTTTTGATGTCAAATATTGAGAATAGCTATTAGGGATTTCTTTAACAATAAAGGATCAGGACGACATAAAACGTAATTTTCGTGAAGTTCTTCATTTTCTAAAAAATAAAAAATTAACACTTTATTTCCAAAGAAATCCCTAATAGCTCTTCTAGATATTTGTTATCAAAAATTAGTCCTGGTTAGCCATGACTCTGGGTTGACGTAATAAGAGTTTAGTACGTTTTCGACAGATCTGTCCCACAACAAAAGTTATCAAAAACGAACCACAAAGATTTCACGAGGGTGTGCAGTTCTTAAGTGGACACACTGTATATTATATATAGTTATATTATTTCTTTCTTCCGTTTAAGCGACGCCGTATCTCTTACACATCTTATACCGGACACCCTGTACTGTATAAAACGTTTCGACGCGCATTGAAACCATCGATCATTCTTTTTAAACGATAAAAACGTACGTGTACGCCGCGAAGGACGTACAAATTGACTATGATCGGGAAAACGAAAATAAAATGGTAATCGAGTAGAGTTTTGAAGACCCGTCCAAGGTCGGTTATTGAATATTTAACGGCGACGGCGGTTAAAATTAGAATTTCGTTTCGTTGTTTGCTGCCCGGCGGCGTTCTTCCAATCGTCGATAATAATCGGAAGCGAAAATATTTAAATAAATAAAAAAATTTGCACTTCTTAGCGGCCACAGAAAAAAAAACAGTCGGAAGGTTTCCGAAAAAACGCGGCAACAATTCCAGTTTCATTTTTATCTCATTGTTTTTTGAAAAACGCGCAGTTTCGGGGAAAATCAGGGGCGGGAGAAGATTGCAAGGTTTATAAAAGACGTGTAATCTTAATAGCAAACCACAGGCAACGAGCTACGCCTAATCTAATCATAGATAAAGGCTGCATCATTTCTGTGATAATGGAAATGTTTTACCCATATAGCTACTAGACACATAGAGGCCCTGCCTATGCTAATAGCACAGGAACTCGTGAAGCAACTATGTAACAACATTTTGAGAAGGTCTGTTCAATATGCGCATGCGCGAGATTTGAAATTTCGTTTTTAACCAATGGCAGCTCTAATTACAAATTCTCACGTACAACAACCAACATGGCCGAAATCCTATTAAATTTTTAGGCAAAAAAGGTGTGAAAAGCGTGGTTAAAAAAATTCGGATCGGCGTCTTTAACATAATTCTGTAAGTAGTTTGGCGTTTTGGTTCTTTAAGCCCTATATACACGATACCAACTATTTTTTCCCGAATTTGGGTGCGTAAATCGGCGCAAACAGTTTATTTTTATAAACTTATTGGTTTAACCTCCAATCAAAATGTAAATAAAGTCGAATTTGCGAAATGTGACTCTAAAAGTGTAAATATAACTTTGGAGGTACTAGATATCGCACTGGAAACCTCTAAGTGGAAAAAATGTTCAAAAAGGCCTCCCAAATATATAATTATGAAAGGTACCAATGGACAATTTAGTTAAAAAGGTATTGCAAAATATAACCAAGAAAATTAAAAACTATTATAAAACAATTCAATAAAAAATTAGCCCTAAATGTAACAGAATTACCATTGCCAAACCCTAAAAAGTGTATGTGTAAATGCTAAAAATACATGTAGAAATTGCATTGTGTCTGCCGGGCTACCAATTCACGGAATAATTTAGATACATTTTACTGCAATTTGGATTCTAACGTAAATAACCAAAAAGAGAGAATCATAACCACCAAACATGTAAACAACAATGTCACAGACTGTTCGTATTCTCTGGCAATAGCAATTCCTTGCTCGGCGTTGCCAATTATATTCGGATTTCAGGGACTGATTTTGCGTTCTTATGAAAATTAGTCAATTTTTTCAGAAAAATTACGGCAATGTGACAAAGTGGTTAGTTGGTTCTCTACGAAAATGCCATAGCCACCTGCGGCGCATCACTTTTCACTGTAGTAGGGCCACTATATTATCTTATAGCTATATGGTTTTACCCGATGAAGCTATAGCTTTGAAGGTTTGGATTGTGGAAACTTCTGCCAGCCAGGGCAGCTGATGAAGGCAATGACATGGAAGAAATTGTGGAGGTTCTGCGAAATTGCAAAGTTGAAGACGGAAAACATTAAGAAATGAAATATTTAAAAATATTAAAGTGATTAAGACTTTCCCGGCCAGCGTTTGAACCGTAAATGTTTTTGTTCGGGCTTAATGGCCGTCGTTGACTGACGATGACTGGTGATAGTGGAGAACCCGTAGCTGTTCCAGGCATTTGTTCAAAAATTTGACCGTTATAAGAAAAATATGTTCTAGACAAGCATTTTTTAATTATTGTGAGAAGGTACGGTTTCAGATTCTCCGACTTTAATATATCTGAAATGTTGTCGAGAGTTTCAGGAATAGGAAAGAGGGATTCTACGTCTTTGCCACGACTCAGGTCTCAACCTGTCACCAATATGGGAGTCAGTCATCCGAGACAGGTACAGAGTAAAATGCGAGGCAGTTTCGGTCAAGCTCTGAAGAAGCCAACAGGATGATTAGCGAAACGTCAGCAAGTTCGACTCAGCAAAAACCGGCGCAGGAGGAATCCAGAAGTTTTGAAAAAATTACAGCCAATTAAAATGTTATCAAGATGAATTGAAGGCACGGTCATTCTTATATTATTGATGGTAGGGTACCCATTCAGGAATTGACACATATCTTTAAAAAGAATATTAAATGGCGATCACAAATGCAATACACTTATTTGACGTAACTGCCAATAGAAAATCCTATTAATTTCTATGGTGGGATAGATAAAGATGATCGATAATCGATCGTTATTATAGTCGAATTAGGCCTGTGAGATATTAAAACAACTGCCCAATTTGCCGTTTTTACCTGACAGTGTCAAATTTCGAATACCATGCGGATAAAAGATTGCGTTATTTTTTTTTTCATTTTTCATTTCATTTGCGGCATACAGAATGAAAAACCTCCTCTTAAAAAAGTTTCTCGCTTACACAAATTCCGTTTCATTTTCAAATCCGAGGTCTGGAAAAAATGGAAAACAAAAAATCTGGATGGATGCTCTTCAAGTAAAAAAAAAAACCTTCCGATATGTCGAATAGTTTCGGAGTTATTGCGATAAAAAAAAATTTTCTTTGAATTTCGCCATTTTCGCCAGTTTTTTCAACTTTACGAAACCCGGCACCATTTCGTATGTACAATAACCCAACTGATGATGTCAGTCGGACGTCATCTGGTTCCAAGTCGATTGTTTTCAAGAAGCGACTTTTACACTAGATAGCAAAACGACTTTCTTTATTGCACGTATTACGTAACCGGCGTTGGGAGATTTCGACGATGGAACAATACACGCGCGAAGCGTCCTCTCTCTCGACCCGAGCATCCACAACGATCCACGCGATAGGTGTCAGCTGATTGACTTCCGACCTAACCTAAAAACGCTGGGGGCGGGTAACGCGTACAAACTGACCAGACGAAGCCGCGGAAAACTCGCTAAGTTTTCCTCCGACTACGACGAAACACCGTCCTCCATTCCGTACCTTTCGCGCGGTGATGATCGACACGATCGCCTATTCCATGGACTACCGCGACGAGACTGGCCGGTGTTTGTTAAGGCGACCGGCAAGTGGGCAAACTGCAGCGCCCTCTGAGACGATGCGTGGCCAGTATTGTTGTCGGGCTTTGTGAGAGAGCGAGATCTTTTATTTTTACCTCTCTTTGTCGCGCGCGTTTTTCCTCTTATTAAGAGATTTAGAACCGCAGATCCCAGTAGCATCAAAGTTGCGGTATAGTTCGACCAGAAATATAGTGCTTTTACAAAAGACCCCGTGATTAACTGTTTATTAGCAGAGCAGACCATTGCCCGTAACCGTTCCAGGACCGTCCTAGGAATTTATCTACCAGGACTAACAAGGGGGATATAAGTATGTTTTCAATCTTCTTCGCCGAGCATGTACATAAAAAAATAGTACAAAGTAACAATTTATTACGTTCTACTTCATTACGTTTCTACATAGTATCGTCATTAATATACAATATGTAAAAATATAATAATAATAATAATAAATAAATAAACAGTCACTTAAAAATTCGCAGCACTACAGTCGTCACCTATTAGTGTTGTGTTGGTAGTTCTGAAAGCTATTTTTAAACCACATTTTGACAAATGTTTTGAAACTTTTTCACTGGGTTCTTCTATGTATGTAATTGTTTTAAATTGTTCGTTTCGGATAAAGAGAGTTTACTGTTGTCTGGATTTGTTTTTTATTTTATCTATAATGGACGGATTGTAGCCGTTGTTGAGTGCAATTTGTTTAACGATATTAAGTTCTTTGTTGTAATATTCTGTTGAGAGTGGCGTATTAAGAAGTCTGTGTATAAAAGAGTGAAACGCAGCCATTTTGTGTGTATGAGGGTGATTTGAGCTTTTTTGTATGACTGTGTCCGTGTGTAAAGGTTTATGATAAATGGAAAAATCTAATTTGTTTTGCGTTTTCGTAGTAGTTAAGTCTAAAAAATTAGTAGAGTTATCCTGTTTAATCTCGATAGTGAATTTTATACGATTATGTAATAAGTTCATGTAATTTAAAAAAGAGTTGGATTTTTTGTCGGTTCCAACAAAGCAAGCAAAGATATCATCCAAGTATCTATAACAAAAATCCCGGCTAACATATGACTAAGTGGGATTCCCATGATCAAACCTTTCCTGGAAATGTAAATCTGTCCATTAAATTCAAAATAATTTTGGTCTAAAGATACTATTAGGTAATCTAATAAACCTTGTTTCACCAATGGGTCTGTGCCGAATGAGGGTGAAATCTACTAAATCTTATATAACGGCCCCAGCAGTTCAACTCTCAACAAAATCAGTAAATATTTTAAAGTTCTACACAGATTTTAAGCCAAAATTTGCAATAAAAAAATTCTTTGAATTAATCAACAAAATTAAATATATCTAAATCCCTTCGAATGCACAAAACTTATTTCCCAGTATTCCATCTATGGATGTTCCAGATTTAGTAGAATTCACCCTCACTCGGAAACAGGTTAACCCATTGGTGAAACAAGATTTATTAGATTGCTTAATCGTCTCTTTAGACCAAAATTATTTTGAACTTAAGGAAGGTTTGATTATGGGAAACCCACATAATTTGGAAAATATCATACAAGAACATCCTTTAAGTGAAAATTTTCTATGGTGGTATAGATACGTGCTTGCTTTGTTGGAACGTACAGACGATTGAATTTTTTTTAAATTACATAATCGTATAAAATTCACTGTCGAAATTGAACAGGATAACTCTATTAATTTTTTTTGCGAAAACCCAAATATATCGGTGGAAACAAAAATAACAAAAAATAATGAGACGCTTTAAAAATAAACAATTTCCCGAAAAAATATGCGAACCTTACCAACTCCGTTAGTAAAAATATTAATAAAATCTCCAAAAACTCCAATTTTACTTTTGCAGCTTATTATATTAAAAATAATCCACCTCTCTATTTCGAGCAGAATAAACAATGATCAAAGTAGTCATGACGCAATGATTCGTTGACAAAATGGAGGGAGCGCCTAAATGTGTTTTATAGAAGTTGGGAATATTTTATAACTTGGCGGATGCGCTGGTAATAATAATAAATAAAAATAATTGACCAAACACTCACCCTTTTGAATGTAGACTTTGGCGAAGCCGCACTGAAATGCAAAATCATAAAGTTAAATATGTAGCAATTTAATTTTATTAATTGTACATTATAAATTATTGATTAATTTCTAGATTTCAAATAAAAAGTAAGGCAGTAAGGGCAGTAAGGTACGGTGTTGTTGATTATTGAGTAAATTAACCGAAAGAAAGTGCTAGAAGTTATTTTCGAGTTTCTGAAATAGCCACCGGGCCGTAATTGTTATCTTAAAGTGAATATGTCAGAGCCCAGTTTATACTGGTTCTTCTAACTCTAAAGTGATAAGTGGTGTTTGAACATTTTCTTAACTGCTGCCATGTCACATAAGAACCCAATGACGTAGTGAGAATCCTATGTCAATATTGTCATTCTAATTTAAATTTAAACGTCTTAACGTTCAAAAAAAGTTGGATATTCGGAAAAATTTAATTTATTTAATTTATTTCAATTAAATTTAATTATTAATTTAATCAGAATAAAATTTTATCATTTTTTTACCAAACTCTTGAATGGCACCAAATTAACCACTAGTCAAAGTCAAGTAATTATTGCATTTAAAAAATATCTTATTTAAAAGAAATCGACGCAAATTTTACTACTTAAATAATTGACTTGTTTTGACTAGTCCATTAAACCTAATCACTAATGACAAAATTATTGATAGAAATAAAATAATTAAAAACTGGTCGGGATATCGAAACGTTTTGATGTCAGCTACTGAGTATTTTGTACGAACCGAATATCACTTGTTTAAGAAAAACCACACAAAACTTCAGAAACTCGAATGTAATTTTCCATTTTTTTTCGAAATTCCACCGTTCACATAAACATAAAGTATTTGCTTTCTATTAATTAATTAAAATTAAATTTTAATTCTGTAATTAGCAACAAAAAATATACGTTTGCTTGAAAGTGGTAGAAAGATTGTCTAACTTCCATGTTTTGTTTAATCAATACCGGTTCCGCGATTTGTGACTTTTGGATTTCACCTCTCATTGTGTGTTTCGTATGTTCTTCAGCTCTAACGTTTAAAAGTCATTTTGTTTCTGAATACACGGTCGATGTTTCTGGTAGTGTTCTTGTAAATATGCTCCTTAATTTCATTCTATTCCTGAATATAGTCTTACCTTTGTAGATTCGACTGATCTTTTCTGAGATTCCCTTTCCGTATGGGATCGCCAAGATGGTCAAGAGAGAGAAAGAGAGAGTATTAGCCTCACATGGTTCTGTCGTTGCTTTCCATTTACAACATGATAATTTTTTGACAATACATTTTTAAGTAGCCATAATGAAGCAAAATCTTTTTAACGCTGCTTCCTATCGGAAAAAAAATTGTTTTATCACGATACGTTGGCAGCTCCTCGAATTGAAGTTTGAATTGATGCCTCAACCTCTCTACTCTCCAAATTTATCCCCCAAGCAACTACTACCTCTTGTCTAACCTCAGCAACGAAGAAGTTATCGAAGCTGTAAATAAGTATTTTGAGAAGCTTGACGAATGTACGTTTAAAATTGGTATAACCAAATTCGAACAGAGTTATGAGAAATGTATTCGTGTTGATGGAGATTATGTTGAAAAATTACTCAAATAAAAAATTAAAACATCGTTAGGCCGGAAACTTTTCACTCCGCCCTCGTATGTGTAGGTATCCTATATACAGAAGTGCTGATAAAACTATTATTTTTACTTACTAGGACATCTAGAAACTATGGTTTCTAGTTGAATTTTTCATTTCGAGTTTCTACAGGTTAATAGATAAACAAATCGTTCGAACAATGGACGAAAGGGAATTAGGTATATAATAATCCCTTTCAGTCATTGAGGATGGTTGCTATTGATGTTACTCTTTCAACCTTAGAGTTGAAGAACATAACAAACATACCACGTCAAATGGTCCGAATCTCGGGTGGTCCACAAGAGCAATTGGGAAAAACGCAATTTTGCACACACCAGATAAGATTAAGATTTTTGGAATAGGTATTTAAAATGCAGTTTTGATATTGTAATAACGGATTAGGAATCATTTTATTAACGACTAATAAAAAAAATCTAGGTGCTTAATTCGCTTTTCAAAATAATTTTAATATAACTCACTGTATTCTTGTGTAATATTCTGTAGAACAATTATAAAAGTTTGGGAATGGAATAAAATGGGAATTATGAACAAGAGTCTTGAAATTAAACACTTTTTTTGCTAGAATTGAGAATTTTGAGCTAAAATGAATCGTAGCAGTTATTGCAAAAAGGAAAGGAGGCTGTTTGTGACATACCATGATATACAACGAACATGTATCGTGGCTACTACTGGGGCAGAAATCAACTAGCGAGGATCAGTAAGGAAAAACAAATTTTCGTAACTCAGATTTGCTCAGATTAGGATTTGCAGGTGTTAAATAATCCCGAAAATCGAATACTTAAAAAAAAGAAATCTAATTACTTGTTCCAGTAAAAAACAAATGTTAAATATGATAAAGACTGTACTCCCATCGAGTAAACCTTTGGTTTAATTTACAAATTTAGCATATCGAGGCTAAAATTAAAGCAGCTTTTTTCAGGAGAGCAAGAAAACTAGTTGATTATTTTAGAATTACGAGGGCAGCGCCAAAATTTCCCGGCCTGAATACGAAAGAAACAAAGTAGAGTAACATTTTCTTTTTAATTTTTCAATATAATCCCCCTTAACTTCAATACACTTATTACATCTCTTTATTAACAACTCAATTAATTAAAAAAATATATACTTTTGATTTGTCTGCAAAATGAGCTAAAACAACCTCTTTTAACTCAACTTCCTTTTTCAAATATCCAAACAAATAATAGTCGCTGGGGGCCATATCTGGACTATAGGGAGGATGATCTATCTGTTGGAACCCACACTCTAAAATGGCAGCTTGTGCAACACCAGCAATAT